GTCAAGATAATCATCCAGTCAAGTGCAGATAATAATCTTATTTGTTCATATCACAATTTTTATTAGTAGTCCACAACAGCATTTTTATTGCATTGCTTTTATCAGCAATGCTCTATCGCACATCAACAATACCACTACAATCACTGTTTTCCCCAATGCTCCTCAACAACACACACACACAAACCCACAACACACACATACACATATGTGTCACTATTTTACCACCCATGTTAACACATATCACCAGAAGCAGCGGACCAAAAGCTTACCAGTCCGACATTTTTTTTTGTAAAAACAGTCTCTTACGAGAAATAATTAAAATAATGTATAAATGGGTGATTCGTCCATCGAAATTTTATTTTGACATTCAGTCTCATCCATTAGGTACGTGTATGATTCGAGTGTGAAATTTCTTCTGAAGATATTTGTTAACATTTGAAATTTAACAAACTAAATAATCCAAAAAAATTAAACAACATTCGGAGGTTAATGTTGATTTTTTCGACTGAGTCTAATAATTATTATTTTCATAAAACACGTAGGACTCAACAATGCAATATGGTGCGTTAACAATGTAAGGTAATATTATCAAATTCTGCTCAAATACATTCCAGGATTATTATACTGTTAATTAAATCTTCTTCAACTCTCTCTTAGGAATACATTAGAAACTAGGTTATGTAATGAAGTAACTTGTTCCAAATCCAATGTTAAGGAAAAAGTCTTCTTGTTTGTCATAATAATATTTCGATACTTTCGCCAGGAATTCGTATGTTAGCTCGAAAATTAGCAGTTTTATTTAGTATTCCCAGAGGCGATGACCAACGAGACGCTTGACAGGCGACCGTGTCGACCCAGAGCCAGCTCCCAAGTCCACATGCGGAAGTTGGTAGGCGAAAGCGATCGATCACACCACTTCGTTGGATTCATTATTTACTATTTTTATTAAACGAAGGTGGAAGATAATGTAATTGCAATCAAGTAAGTATAAGAGGTCAAAGAGAACAATTCATGTTCTAAAGTGATTTTTTTAAAATTACAAAACAAATTAATTAATATTCCCCGTTTTAAAAAGGACATAATGCTCTAACGGTTATCATTTAATGTAACAAAAGGTCATTTAACAAGAAAGTGCACTTTCAGAGTGTCTCATCTGAAAATATAATATTATTTTTTCTATAATTTTTCTTCAGAGGGTATTGATGGATTTTTAATAACCGAGATAATTTCGGTAAAGAAAGATAAACTCACCTGTTAGGAAGTACCGTGATAGCATGTAGATGGAAGGGAGTTTTTCATGGGAATAAACAACGCTTTCTCTCGCATGCAGAAAGTGGAGGAAGTGTTATGTCGTGCTTTATCGTGAGCTTTAAATGAATCTTACGTATTCAGATGTCTTTGCTGCAATGAATGATATAAAGCATGAATCGCCTTTCTTCAAGTTTCTTTATAGAAACTTCTATAACCACTATACTTATGTAAGAACGTGTATGTTGCAGATTATATTACACTCTGAATGGTACTAACTTATTTATTTGTAACATCATTCAGCGCAATTACTTTTCTGTTTTTAACTTATGTTAGATGTCTTGTATTCTTGCAATCGTTTCACGTTTTGAAATTATCTTAACGCTTGCAATTACGTCTCATTTTAATATATAAAATATTTGAATCTTATATGAAATGTGGATATAAAAATATTGTCGATGACACATGACGCAGGGAAGAAAATCATTCACGAAAATAGCATTGCTTATTAATCATTTTCAAAAGTGGCAAATATCTCAAAACAAGTAGCACATTTTGACCTCTTTGGAGTCACCAAAAGGAGACAAGGTCCAATCCTGTTATTCTATTGTAGTGTTCAGGATTGCGTTTAGAAATTTACCTAATAGCTTATATGAATACGGTACAGTTCATATTCAAAATCAGACATACCAGCGTTTGTCCAATGCTTTAGTGGTACTTTAGTTCTACGATTAAGAAAAATGGTCGATTTTCAGTTTCGAATACAGCAATCAATAGATAGCTGGATCACATTCAATACCTGTTTGAAGGATAATTCTAGCAGTCGATTGCTCTGATCGGCTGTTTTCTCCTGTTAATGTCAGGCAAACGTCGAGAAGTTCTTTGACGATAGACCGACCACGGATATTCCCCCTCTTTACCCCTTCTCTCCCCCTTTGCATCTTTCCTTGTCAGTCCTCTGCAAGACACACAAACATGCACTACACTACCACACATATCGGGACACCGATCGGGAGCTTAGAGCTTGTCCTGGCTGGCAGTACACACTGTGGAATAAAACCCCGCATGCCAACTTTTATTTCAGCTCCCGAACTCATGTTCCAATGTGGCACCTTCACTTTCAGCGACAAAACAGGCCCTGCAGAGACAAATGAAGTTAGTTGACGCGCTCGTAATCTGTACTAACTCATATGCGAAATTCTCTGACATTGTCTCAGGTGCTCGCATAATCTATTCTGCGGCCCGCCACCAAAAAGGGTTCCCAAACTGTTTCGTTCATTGGTCCCTTTTAAAAAATTGTTGGCTCTATCGACTCCCTTACATTATTCTCTATAATATACCGTACATAATCATGACGCAAAGAATTGTCTATAAATGTCTGAACGATAACAATTTCATACACCAATTTTTTGGTAAATCTAGATTTACAATAATCCAATAAATGGGAGACTCTTCCCCTTTAGCCGAGTTTCTAATCTACGTTGTTGGGCGTAGTTACAAAGGATTGAGCAGTTTTATTTTTTTCTGTCAATTTCTTTTCTGTAGATCATATTGGAAGGCGTATTTTCTTTGTCTTTCGATGTCAATATATTGCTTATACATCGATGTCAATTGATTGCGATTTCCAAACAACCTAAGCAGTTGTGTAGACAGGTTCTGACTGTTGCAATGGAGAAAACAAGCATTGAATTCAGTTCGTTTCATTCTTTGCCGATGTCAGTCGGCAGAGTCCTCATTAAGGGTCCCTTACTTCCGGGAATCGGTGGGGTGCACCGGTTGCCCCAGCCTGGCTATTAGTCCAGTCAAAAGGTATCTGACCCAGGAAAAAAATACGGAAGTTTTCTTCTCAATGGATGTATATGTTTTTGAAGGTGCAAAATTCGAATTTGATGTTTGCCACCTCACAAAAGGTCGGCTTCACGGAGAAAATTAAAAAAAAAATAGAAATTTCGATTATCTTTTTATTTTTTCACTTACATCGTCAAAACAACGCGTTTTAACAAAACAATTGTTATTTATAATAGTAAAGAATATAAAATTTCCTACCAAATGCATACATTAACGTTGAATTTATAAAAAAAACGGTTCAAACGATTAAAGAACATTTCTTTTTTGGCCTCTGGCGAAAGCGGGAGAATAGATCTTTCCAGCCACCCCACAGCCGTCCCACAGCCACACAAATATAACACTTATAGCACAAATGAAAAGCTATTATCTGATTTATTGTTAAAATAATGGAATGTGCAGACAAACGACCCTAAAAGATCATCTCCATTAAACGACCATCCGTCTCAACAACTCAATTTTTCTTGGATGATACCGGGCGCGACAACTTCTAAGGTCATTAAGGCCTTAAGTGTAGTGCATTTTTTATCGCGGGAGATGGTAGTGATTTTCCCCGACGGATGACGAGATTTGACGCCGATCTATATTTCCGTCCCTAATCTGGTATATCCCACCAGCAGAGCACAGCCCTAGCCAGACAACCTCCAAAATATAATATCAAAGCTCCCGACTTCTATTTTTCTTGGAATAAACACTGAAATCTGTATTACATATTGAACAAATTTACCCCATAAATATTTCAATATTTAGGTACTTGTTATTCTATATTAATGCGAGTTCTAATTATATCATTCTAATAGTATAGAGAGATTCATCTAAGAAGGGACTGCTTTGACAGCTGCTACTTGGGTACTCCTAGCAATAAAACAGAAAATTATGACAATGCGCTTAATTTGTCAATGGGTTTGTTTGCAGGTGGCTGGATGGCTTCGGCACTATCGCCTGACATGACGTTCACTTGTTTCGCGGTAAGTCAAACTGATCCCTTCTGAAAGTAACTTCTCCGTAACAAATGAACAAACGTAAACAAAGGGCATACGCGTAACCCGGCACTGTCTGCGCGACTCAAAACAAACGCCACGTTCTGCGCCCGTGGGCGGAAGCGCGTTTTGGCGGAAGTGATCGGCGCGTCGGGGCGCACCCCGGAGCGGGAAGGCCGCGGGAGAGAGCGCGGCGCGGCCGGGCGCCTAGGCCTCGCGGTTACGTCGGCGCCGCCCAGCCGGCGAGAGCCAGTGGATCGCAGCAGGCGTGGCGCTGACGGGCGGGGGTGCCCCCCCTCGAGCGCGTTACGGCTCCCCACGTGGCGGGCACGCCCCCCCTTCGGCGCATGCGGAGGCGACGGTCGGCGCCAGCCGACGTGCAGCGGGCGGCCGCCGGGCGTCTGGATCCTCCGAACCGGACGACAGCGCGACCGAAGCGGTATCCTCGATCCGCGCCCCGCGGCCGCGTGCCGCACCGCCGACTTCCCCCACCCTCGCCGCCCACCACGTGGCCGCACCTCCCCGCCCTCCCCGCGCTCCCCCTCCCC